ACTTGTACTGTCTTCGAAAAAGTTGGTCAGCGCGACATACTTTTTCACAGCATTTAGCATTTGTTCATGCGTGTTGAGTAGCATTTTTGTAAATTTTTCGGACTTTGTAATTTGAAAACAGCCTAACTGTAAAGTATTTAAATATTGATTTATTCTTATTCATAAGATAAGAACTATGAATAGACAATTTTGCTTAAAGAAAACTTCAGATAATTCAAATTAACAGAAATGGAACAAAAATCAGCTACCTTCAAATCACTCATACGCCCTGCCTCTCGCACAATATTAATCAGCTGGGCGTACTATCACCCACACTCCTGCACTTTCAGCGCATATTTTCTGTTTAACTAAATATTAATTTGACATGTTGACATATTGACATATAAATATAGGATTTGTTTTATTTGGGTACATAAGTGCTAATTAGCTACAACCACCAATAAAAGCGATTAACAAAATCGAGTGATAAAAATGTAGAATAGAAATAAGTGAAACTATATTGAATATATTTGGGCGTCACTTTCGTATGTTTCCATATATAAAGAAAAAAAAATAACAACAAAACACACAAATAATAATAAATATAAAATAACGATAACAACTGAATTTATTACTTACAGTTTTGCTGTCATTCAAACGAATGAGGGCGTTGTAATAGAATGTGGGCGGGACGAAAGCAAAAATATGTTGTCAACATGCGATTGATGGTATCGTAATGTAAGAAGGTTAAACTGAAATAGGGTGACCAGACGGCCTGATTTATCAGTACATGTCCTGATTCCAAGGTCCAATTAAAGTGTCCTGACTGATTTCTCTTTTTCCGCCTAATGTCTCGATTTTTACAAAACTGACCTTTTATAAAACTATTGTCGTGTAAACATATCACTAGATGTTCATGTATGTATCAACATTGTGACATATAGATGTTAAAGCTGAAGCTCCATAGCAAATTTTTCGGGCGTTGCAGCTTGCGGCAGTCAAGCTCTTATAACTGAATAGAGCGCTTCTCCCTTGCAAGTGTCCTGATTTTTTTTCGACTCATCTGGTCACCCTTAAGCGAAATCAAGTGAATATTTTAAGTAGCTTGTAATGCTTGTATACATTATTATTGCGTACATAAATTTGAGTAGATGAACAAAAAAAAAATATCAATTTATGCATACGCGTGCTCTAGTTATTCATAATTTTATTGAATGTGTATTTACTTGTACACGCGTGTGTGTAGTTTTGTATGGACATACTTATATGATAAATAGATTATTAATATCGAATTTTTCGCTAATAAAGTTCACTTGAATTTAGAGAAAAATATGAAGATGCTTGTATGGAAGTACTTATTCTTAAAAGTAAAGAATATATAAATAAAAGTCTTCAATGACTGTTATCTAAAACATATAATATAAAAATAAAAAATAATTGTTATTTTGGATTTATAATATAATAAGCAAAAATAATTGTTATTTTTTTTTGAATTCGCATAAATATTGCGAATAAAAAATATATTTTCAAATTTTAGTCTCGATGAAAAAAGAAATCGATTGGTAGGTATCATTTAGTTGTAGAACATTTCCTTCTTAGTGTATTTTTCCATAACAATATTTATCAGTAACTATTATGTTCGGTCCCTTGCTTGAGATGCTGCGACTGTAGGCCCCGACAACGACTCATAGTGGGTCAGTTCTGCAGCTAGTACTTTTTAGCTGTTATTTTTTTTCTTTATCTGGGAAAAATTATTATATAGTATGTGTTTCAGTCGCCAAATGGTGCAGCAAAAATGATTTAAAGTAAAACCCAAAAATATTTACATAGTAAATTTCTCTCGGAAAATAAAGTGTGAAAAAATTCCTACAGCCATTTATTCTCGGAGAAAAGATAAGCTTCCCTAAAGGGTCCAGGTATTTGGGAGTTATCCCAGATGACAAAAAACTTTTCAAGAACGCCCCATTTTAGAATTTTATTGAAAAACACCATATCTCAGAATTCGGTTGAAGAATGCCCTATCTCAGAACTCGGTTCAAAAACGTCCCACCTACCTCCAAAAGGTATTGAAAATGTGATGAGATAGGGCATTTTTGAAACGAATTCTGAAATAGGGCCTTCTTCAACCAAATTCGGTTCTTGAAAGGTTTTCTGGCATAGGGCGTTTTCGGAACTGGCTGCCGAAATAGGTCGATCCTCCACTCAGCAGTCGATATATCCTGCATGACTTAGCTTCAGTCAAAATTTTTAGGAATTTTTCCCCAATCGTACCAACTGGGACAACGAACGGCCAAAAATCCCGGTGGGAAGCAATAAATATTTAGTGGTCAAGACTGACCACGGCGTCAGAGCAGGACTCTATGGCCTCAGCATGAGGCAAATGAACTCTGTCGTTCAGACCGAGGTGTAGGCCTTTGAACCATCGCTGTGCAGTATCTATGTAGAAAGTGAGGCGACCAACAAAAACATCTACATACACTCCGACAGCAGAGTAGCGCTCCTCGCTCGTAAAAAAAATGTTTCCACTTAATCACTTATATCTTACGAATCAATGGAACAGCCTTATGCCGAATAAGGCAAAAGAAAGCCAACAAAATTCTCTATAAACCGTGTATATATCACTTTTCGATAGGCCTAATAGTTTCTAAGAAATTAATTAAACATTCCAAATTTTCTATTTTTTTTCATGCTTTGCCAAAATTAACATCCCTGACGTTCATATGTAGTGCTCCTTCCCACTTTAACAAGCTGTTGGAACAAATTGGATCAAAAAGTTTTAAACTATCTACTCACTCTCTTGATTAAAATCATCAGCACTTAATCTGTTATCGATTAACAAGTTGGACTACCAAGTATTACTGTCGGCACACACACACACTTAAACAACTCACACAGACACTTAAACAACTCATTCCTTTCTTATACTCGTACTTTCTTATACTCGTACTTAATCAATGCAACCCGTGCACGTCATTTCAACCGTTCTGCTTTTATAACTGCATAAAAGCTTTTATTGAGTTTTAAAAGTTTGAACTTTAAGCTCAATACTCAACAATTTAGCAACGAATCTCGAAACGTTAAACTTATACAAATAGTTAGCTTCCAATAGTTTCTTGAAACAATTCTGATAAAGGTAAAATATTTTAATTATGCAAAGCGATAAGACCGTTAAGAAAAAGGAAACTAGAAACTAAAAGCAAAAATTGTGTAGACAAAGGAAAACTTGTGCGCGGATGAGTGGATGAGAGAGAAGGATTTGAGTGTGTAAGGCTATGTGGGTTCAAATTGACGAAGGCAGACGTGAATTAAAACTAAGCGGAAAACCTATTTTCCATCAAGGGTCAAAATGGGCAGGTGATAAATTTAAGGTGCTTGGAAATAAATGAGAAACTGAACTGACTACCACATAATAAACTGCAGTAATGACTATTTGAGCTGTAGGCGGCATCGTGCGGAACTGTGCATTTGTCAAATAACAAAACATTTTGCAACTTTCTGATGTGCTTGCGCTTAACACCTCAAAAGTACATCAAAGTTGAAATTAAAGCGAAATTTGTTGAGAGTGGATATTGATAAAGGAGAAGTGAATGGGTGATGATGAAAAGGTGAATGCAAATTTTAATTAACTTAATTGAAATGTTTTTGGAGTTGAGTAAGTGGAGATTGTATTTGTTAAGTAATGGATCAAAAAACTTCGCCAACCGCCTCTTTCCTGCATTTGGTCCTTCCATTTTGTTTGCGGGTGCCTTTGCTTTCGTTATCCACCAATGGGTATTTTCACTGCGGCGCACAGTGGTTCGGCTCCATACATTTTTTGGAAAAAATATAAGGAGTCGTCCTAGGTCATTGAAACTTTGCACACAGGTTATATGTGAGCTAGTTAAGAAATTCCAGAAAATTCCAGAAATGGTTGAAATCGGTCAACCCCTAGGGGTACCTCCCTTGGACCTATAAAAAAAAAAAATTAAATACAAATTTTAATTTCAGCTCAAAAAAGGAAGATCTCTTCACGAAACTTGGCGCATAAGTTACCCTCATTAAAGGCATTGACAGTACCAAAAATAGTTGAAATCGGTCACTCCCTAGGGGTACCTCCCTTGGACCTATTAAAAAAAAAATTTAATACAAATTTTGATTTCGGCTCAAAAAAAGTAATGTATCTTCACGAAACTTATTATATAAGTTACTCTCATGAAATATATCGCAAAGTTATCTAATGCTCTTTGTGTCTACACATTCGTAAACAAATATAATTATAATTTCTCGTTGTTCGCTTCGCGTTGCCGCAGTATTCGCCACAATATATAAACGTCAATATATTTTCATAATCCTAAAAGTATTATTTCTTATAACTAATATTTTATCTAATCCTTTCTATGCCTACACATTCGTAAACAAAAAAATGTCACATAGATGTAAATGTTAATATACACGCATGATCCTAAAAGCATGCTACATTTTGTCACTTTTATTAAAATTTGAAGTGACTTTTCATCATCATTTAAATCAAGTTTACGTCGAGAAGGGCAAATATAAGCAAACATTTGTTTCAGAAATCGATAGAAAATATTCCAAATTTTCATTTTATTACAGTTAGATGATGTAGCACGCTGTAGCACACAAACTTTTTGTCCATTGAAAGTAGCAAAGGCAGCATTTATGAAGTATCATTTTTGCTGGCCTAAATTTTTTTTTAATATTTGGTCGATTGCACTGATTTTTCCTCTATTTAGTCAAGTAAGTGCTCAATTTTCTTATAAACTCACAACAAAAATAATATAGATAAAAGTTATAAGGAAAATATATAGCTCAAGTTAGCAAAAATTCCAAGGAGTTTTAGCTGAATAAAATTTTTCTGACTTCTGATTCTGATAATGAATTGTTCATATCAATACATTTCTTTATAAGACTGCATCATTCAAATCTAAAAATTAGATATGAAAAAAAATTAATTTTTTCCACGGCCGAATCACTGTGCGGCGTCGTTATCTATGCATACAATATGACCAAGCAAGCGCAAATTTAATTAATTGATTAGAGTAATTTATTTGTGAAGTGGTAGCGAAAAATCCTTTGGTTAGAAAATACTTATTATTGGTGTTAATTATAAAATTTGTTTTGCTACTTAAATACAAATATAAATTTAGATTTACTTTTACAGTATTATTTACAATAAAAATAATATTGTATTTAATTTTATTTTTCAATGATTTTCAATGCTCGACTTGTTACTCTGCCAGCTGTAAGGAGCACTTGGCTCGAGATGGGAAATCACAGGCCTGAAAAAGAAAAAAATCAAACAAATTTAAACTTCATGTTGAGTTTTAATTACGCTTTAAAAGATTTTTTTGTATGTAACTAATTTACCACTTTTAAAGTGGCTAGCCTACATATGCCTACCAATTCATACAAAACCAACATTCAACATCCGCCCGTTCTTTACTCACCATTAAACGCTTGCTGTAATGCAAGCCCTCCGGGCATTTATTCACTCTTGGTTGTCCGCGATCGCACTTATAGAATATGCCACAGTTGCTAGGCGATGGTATTTGCACCACAAAAGAAGTGTCGGACTGGTTTCGGGGACATACGATACCCTCCTCTACAGCTATGTTGGCGGCATTGATGCTGGCAGCTGCAACCAGCGCAGCGAGCACAAAGAGAAATACGTGAAATTTCATTATGCCAACGATTTTACTTTCATCTGTGTATAAAGCTTATGTAAAAACCAACAACTATCTATAAAATGGGAGACAGTGTTGTTGCTAGTCAAATATTTTATTTGGAATGCGCCATGTGAACTGAGTTGGCGAGCTTTTATAGCAATGAGTATCTAGTATATTTAGTCTTCGTATTTAAAACGCAAAACATTTCCAATTTTATAAAAATGTTATTGGTGGCAAAAATATAAAAAGTATGCTCTCTACATATGTACATTTGAATACATACAAATAAATACAGCGTGTCGCAAACTGTTTTCTTATCATTTGTGTACATTTTTTGTACCTCCATTAACTTCGTTTTAGTTTTTTTTTTAATTTTAAATGCAGTTTGCATTCTTACTTTTATTTTTAAAGTTGTTGTTAGATGTTGATGTTTTTTTTATTAATTTGCAATACTTGATACTAATTTCACACATTTTGTGATAAAACATTTACTTGCCTCCAGTCTTCTTCATATCTCAGCCTTACATCTCGCTGAAGTCTTCTGCTAGCTCTTATCGATTGTGTTTCTGTTTTGCTTATTTCTTTTTCAACTTGAATTTAACACAGTTTTGCAATTTTTGTTCAGCAAATATTTATTTGAAAATATTGAATTTATTGGCGCTTATTTTTTTTTTAGTAATTTTCAGAGTGTTTTAAAATTAAAAAATTCTGGTTATCAAATTTAATGAGGATATGTAAATCACATTTTCGCTCATAAATCCTACTAAATAATATTATAAATATGACATTTTGTGAGTGAGTGTTTGGGTATGTTTTTTACTCTTTCATGCTAAAACGGTTGGATGTATTTCAACACAGATACCTTATATTTAGTCCGAACTAACATATATAGGGGATTCTTAAGACGTTGTAAGCAGCGTAAGTCTTGAAGTCGAAAAATTTTACAATGTACAAATAGCGACCAAATCGGTTTAAGGGCATCCGCCGGATGGGAGCAAATTATATATTTTCTATCAATTTAAAACCGTTTTTGTGTTATTAATAATAATAAATTGGGCTTATATGTACATATGAGAGTGTTTGGCCAAGCTTCTCCTGCGATTTGTGGCGTGCGCCTTGATGTTGTCTTACACAGGCACCTACAGTTTCATGCCGACTCCGAATGGCTAATTTATTTTTATGAGAAGCTTATTAATGGCAGAAATACACTTGGGTGTTCGCCATTGTCTGCCGAGTGGCAACCGCTTTTTATTTCGACATCATCGCCACAAATCAGAGCATAAATGCAGGACAATTTTTAGAAAAAATATTTGTGCTTACATAACCAGTATATATGGAATTGCCCATATGCTCCTCTTATGATATTTCTGCTTCTCTTTAGAGCTGCAAAGAAGGTGCTGTAATATTTTCCTCTCGTTTTTGTCTCTGCAGGTTCTAAAGAAGTCGTTTCAGGTGATACACAGCCGGCTCGCTTGGGAACCAACCGCCAACGCCCGGTAGGAATCGCAACTAACCTTGCACCGTCCGATCTGGGTTGTACACGGGCCACATGAGTTTGGATGTACGGCAGCCTGCCGCCGTGACCCACTTTGAATGCGATTTAAGAAGGTTGTGGGGAAAGATATCTATATTTATATACATAAAACGGACCATATACTCAGTTTAAAGAGTGCTTCCTATACTCCTTGATTCATTTCGACCTTGTCGTGCACCCGCCTTGACTTAAACCTTGATTTAACCTGGTCGAGAACGCTCAAGTACTACATTTCCAGGTTGTGAATAACTTTAATAAAATTAAATAAACAAAGCCCGAAATATTCGTAGCAAAAATCGAGTAAAAATAGTTTTAAGCAAAGCGAGGCATTTTCGTGGAAAACATCGCCACACACGCTGCAGAAAACCAAAAACAATAGTTTGCGAGTAAATGGAATGCGTTAGTGGAGAGAAGCCAAAAAGCTCAGCAAACACAATACGTAATCATTGAACTGGAAAATATGCAAACGAATTTTAAGGTTAAAGGGGTGACAACGAAACGTGTATCAAGCGATTGAAGGCAAATTTCGCGTTGATAAGATTGAGATACCTAAATCACGTAGAGAAGGCTAAAATTAAAGCAAAAACGCGAGTGGAAATAATCAGCATGACAGGCAAGAAATAAAACAAAATTACAAAAAAAAACTCGTAGTTTCAAGCAAAGCAGGAGTAATGAAGCGAGAGGAGCAAGGGATTGACTAATAATGAAAGAGATATGCCATTTACACAAAGCATACACAGATACACAAGTAAGAAAGGAAAATCGCGAATATCAGCAGACAGGAAGGCCAAATTAATGCAGACTCTTGGGTTGGGTATTGTAGCTGAGTAGATTTGTTTCTAAATAACTGTGTCGCCGCCATTCAACTTACTTTCAGAGTCCATGCACTCATCAGCGATAGCTGGCGCAAATGTGAAGCAGCAAGCGTAAAATTGTTATTATACACGAGCAGATAAAATTATATATATTTAATAGTGAAACAATGTTTGGTCGTCGTCCACCATTGGGAAGAGGTCGACTGCCGCGCACTTGTCATGGCGAATGAGTAGACATAAAAGCAAAGAGTCAGTGTCTGTCAGAGCCAAGTAGAGAAGGGGAAGAAGTAAAAATTTGCGCATAAAAGAAAAATTAATTCGTGAAATGCATGGAGGGGCAGTTGAGCTGTGGACCAGCAAAGTTGAGTTTAAAAGCTAGCTGCAGATGGCAGATGAAGAAGAACGAATGAGTATGAAAATTCTCTGTGCGAAAGTGAGTAGCGCGGCCGGCCAAGCAGCTTTGGCAAGTCAGCACGTCAACAGACCATATCAGCAGACAACAAAAGCTGTGTTAGTGTTATTATATACTAGTTGAAGCTAACCGTTGCTTAGCGCGTAAATTCAATGGGGTTAAGTGAGGGAAATATGTACATATATATGCATGTATGTGGCTGTAGAAGACATGCATAGAATTTATGCGCAGATTAATTCACGGAAGTCAGATAGTCATGCTTACTCGCTAAAATATGTACATTCACTAAACTCTGTATCTGCGCTTAGTTCGCTGTGGACAGTAGTGACTGGTTGAGTGTAGAGACTGGACGCACTGCAAAATTAATAGGAAATGAGTACACCCTCGTAATGGGTTGTATTTCAAAGGCAATATTTTTAATGAAAACGAGCACGAATAATGACGGTGGTAAAAATAAACCAGTAAAAGTATGATAAGCAGAAAAAGTTGAATTTTAAATAATTAAATGAAATTTATAAAGTTTTTGTGTAGTACCACATGTCGTATGTGCAATATTAGATAGTTTCGTAGAATTAGAAAACCGAATTTCTAACAGCTCTTTCTGTTTAAAGGGCTGTTTGCAGCTCTCAAGAATAAGTGCAAGAAATATTTTTCACTATTTCGTTTTGCTTGAAAAAGTACTTTGCTTTTGCTGTAAATTTTCTTGGAGAAATAAATAGACTAGCATTTTTTTCTTGAGCCCTGAAACTGATTTAAGAAATTTTGATCATGATAAAAACATAGCAAGGTAGAACCGTTCTCTCAATTTGTCGGCCATGATTTTTTTTTGAAGTTTGCCAACATTTTAAAATCATATAAAAGTGAAAATAAAAAATTGAAATTGTTCGAAATGGTTGTTGCTTGAGATTGAAAATGAAAATGTGTGTGTGAGGTTGTGAGTAAATTTAAAAGTTAAATTGTTTAGAAACGTCAAGAATTTTAAAAGTGACTCTCAGCGGTTCTACCTTACTATATTTTTATCATGATTTTGATAGACGAAAATTTTTTTTAAACTCTTGATCGCCATTTTATATGAATTTTTCGTTTTTCTGGCAGAATTATCTCGGTTTAAGTGCTGCAGCTTATTCTCAAAATCGACTTGGATCATAGGAATTTTCCAAGATGTGTGTTTATGCAATTATTTAAGTAGGTAAGCATGTAGTAGTAAATTTCAATCAAGCTGATGAAAACAGTAAAATCTATTTTCATTTATTTATTTGAAGTGTAAATAAAATAAAATTTTTTCGTTTGCTTAGTAATTTTTTCAGAGCTTTTCGAAGAGTCCAATTTCAAATATATCTTGTTAAAGGACTAGCATAAGAATTACCTTTGTGGTTTGTTTTAATAAAATAAGTTTAAAATTGCCTTCTTAAACTAACTGCGTACAGATATTTTCAATGACTCGAAAGACGCAGCCTAGAGAATTGATGAAAAGCAACCCGGTCTGGCAGACCGGGGTGTGTATTTGTGTCACAAGGAATCACCTGTGTGAAGAAAGGTGAAATAATTGGAGACCTTTTGGAGAAATTAGTGTAAAGTGCCCATTTTTAAATGCCGTTAGGCGTCTAAATTAACTTGAAATTAGATTTTTGCTTACAAATTTTGAGTCTCAAGTGAACCCAACATTTTAAAAACTAACAAGGGCTTTTTTTATATTATTAGGATTTTTGATTACGAATCCGAGGCCTGATTTTAATAATTCAAAATGGTGGCCAAAAAAGCTAAATATATATCAAATTCGCATGAAATGTTTTTCCCGAGGGTTTTTATGGTTGTTAATTACGAATCTCAAGTCAAATTGGCTGATCCAATATAGATACATCGCAGCCAAAAAAATTTAAATCGCTAAGAGTCGCTTAACACTTTACAATCGCGGGTTTTTGGGTTCTTGAGGTCACTGACTATGCATCTGAAATCAAATTTTAAAAATTCAAAATGCCGGATGCATATTAGATCTATCATTTATGACTGAAAAGTTAGATTTGAAGGTATGTACGTACATGGCGTATGAGTAACATTCTCATCTCGTCTGAGTAACTCATACGCCATGTACATACGTATGTTCGATTTTAATAGACGCAGATTATAAATTTATTTACACTAAGCTTTCTCCGGAATTCTTAGGTCCATCACAGCTGGGCGCGACATATGCTTCACCACTGGCAACCTGTCAGAAGAGGACTAGACAAGCCAGATATTCTTAGGGCTGGTTTCT